ATGATCCCCCTGGCCGCCTGTAGGCCCGCAGACTTCAGAAAGCAAACGCTTTCTGTGAGCGCGTTGCCCTCCCCGGAATCCGCAGCTCAGCTCTTTCTTTCCCGCTATAAGGCCAGGATCTCCACCCCGTGCATTCGGGGGCAGGTTTAGGGTTGCCTTAGTTTTGAGCAGTTACTCAAGTTGGGTAATCCTTGTCCAACACCAGGGGAATGGGAGGAATCTCCCATTCCCAAATCTGAATCTTTATCATAGAATGGAGGTAGCTTCTAGAAAGAAAAGAAACGGTGTCCGAGGACCCTGGAGAGTGAGTGCACGCATATCCGTGCCGCCTGAGGTGCGCTCGGGCACCCAGGATAGGGTGTGTGTGGGCAAGTTCGGGGGCGCGCAGACAGAGACCACGCTGGTTTAGGCGGACCCGCACTCCCGCCTGCTTCGGGAATCAGCGGCTCCGCAGTTCCGGCTCCCGGCGCCCCAGGGAGGCTCAGGGAACGGTGAGCGCAGCCGCCGTGGGTTCATGTTAATTCACGCGGCCTGGAGCAGCCGGGTTCCAATCCATATTAATCAACCGCTCGACCTACTCAAGTCTAAGTTTACTGGAGAAAACGTAGTCCCCGAAAAGGAAGAACAGCAATCCGAGCTCTGGAAGCACATAGAAGCCTTGGTCTGGGGTAAAGCAGTTGGTGCCTTTGTCCCGCCAGACCCTTCTCCCAGCTGCCCGAAGTTGGGCGGCTGGTGGGAAGGAGGGTAAGGGCGATGATCAGAAGGGGGCTCATTGATGCCCCCAGGCGCTTGCCTCACCACCGAAGCTGGGAACAAGACCCCGAGGTCGTCCGAAGTGTCTACCGGCGGCAGACTCGATTTCCCGGGAAGAAAGCTTCCCACACTTGTACCAAGACCCCTTCTAAAGTCCTGTCAGAATTACGATTTATTTTATATTTTGTACTAAACAAGCTCCCACGACTTAGATAAGTTTCAGGCTGCACAAAACCTGCTTCGCACTGTGGGTCTGCAGGGGTTAAACTCGTGGGGGTGAGAGGCTGGCCCTAATTTCTGACACTCTTCTTTCTAGTGTGGCTCCAGCCCCAGAGGGAGGGGTCGCCGGGACTGGAGGCTGCGGTGTTCTCCAAGACCCTCTCTCCTTTCCAGGTCCCTCCTTTCCATGCTGATCCTGCAAAAACCCGGGTGATCATCGCCTCCCACTCCCCTCCTCCCAGATCTGGCCAGTCTCTTCTCTCGGGCAAGGACTTTGCGGAGGGCTCTGGGTTGGGGGCACCGGGGTCCTCTGCCGCCTCCAGCTCTTCCGCGAGTCCCGCCACTCCTCAGCCCTGGGCGTGCCTTCCGCAGGTGAACCCAAAGGTGCGTCGGAAGTGCTGCAGTTCTGTTCTCGTTCTCTCTTCTATCCTCCCTCTTTGACTTCCGTTTCACCCAGCACCCACTTTTCCTACGCTGCTCTAAAGAAGTTCTCTATCTCCTGTCCCAGGCTTTTCGTGCGTCCTTCCACTCGTCTTCACCCGGCCAGTCTATGCAGACAGAGTAAGGCCATGTAGGCGACCATTCGGATAATCCAATTTAAAAGAAACCCCCTTACAAAAATTCAGCTAAGCAGGAGGGAACGAGGGCGAGCGCTGGCACAAATGTTTGTTGTGGAGAATTCCAGTGTTTGTGCGCAGTCCCAACCCAACACAGTCTCCCCAGGATCCTGATGCGCACCCGCACAATGATGACTTCCAAATCTGAGGTTTACCACGTGGTAACAAATAAACAGGGGTCCACTTCAAACCCGCTGGATGTCTGTGTGTGCGCGCGCGCATGAAGAAGCTTTTGTACATGAAATACCCTCAGGGCAAACGGAGAACGCGCTAAAGGCTCCCCTGAACTCAGTAACAGTACCTGAAGGGTCTCAGGGAGGACAAGCTGGGCTCCCCAGGAGACACTACATGGTGGTGACAAATCCACCTACAGGTGGTGATAACTCTAAGAAGCCCCCCTCACCTCTGAGGTCGGGAGAGCCCCTTTAAAGGTAGTCCCTCTTCTGCAGACACTCCTCTCCACTTCCGACCTTATGAAAAGGTGGCCCCAGAGGAGACAACCAATCTGAAAAGCTTCTCTGGTCTGTTATCCTATGTTGTGCCTCTCCTTGCCGGGTTTCAAGCTTTCTGCAAGTGGCTAATTACCTTAGGGTGATCCCAAAATAAAATGGTAGGACTGGGCTACGGAAGTGTGTGCTCAAGTGAAATCGACAACCCAGTAATATCATCCCTTGAAGAGAGTCTGAAGACGTCCTGGTAATTTCCCTTAAGAAATCTGGTTTTACTGGTGGATCTCCGTAGAATTCTTTGCCTAGAGGCTGGAAATGAGTAATAGGCCGTGTGTCTCCAAGCCTCGGCTAATTTAATAATACATACTTTCAAGAAGAGCAACGGGGTGTTTACAATTAGTACCTAAATTTCTTCTGTTTGAAAAAAAAAAAAAATCCCTAAATAACCCCTCTCCCAATCAA